TTCCATGAGCCACGTCGTTCCCACAGCGGGGCTGGCCTGGCAAACGCTTCTGCAGACCTGAGTGGTAACTGGGGGTTGAGCTCCTCCCCGACAAAGGGGGGTCTGTCGCAATGGGGAGCTGCAACACACTCTCAGCCTCAGGTCTCCTGGCTGTATTTTCATCAAATCTCTCTTCCCTCCCTTCCGCATCCTTCATTTATAGATAAACTTCTAGCCGAAAAGAGTGACTTAAATACATATGGATTCTGCAGCATATTCCACGGTATTCAGCATTCCACTATGATCAGAGCTAAAATGTCAACCTTTGCCGTCGGCCCTGGCTAGATCTGAATATTGAAAAGAAGCTTCTTTTTAAGCCTTTTCATGTTTTGCTATTTATGCTCTCACCTGCCCCAGAGATTTAGAGGAAATAAGCTCTCGGTTTTGTTTTCTTTCCCTGTGAAATCCTTCCCAGCGCCTGCCACTGTCTCCCTGCCATTTCCTACACCCAGTGCTGCTATTCTAAACCGACGGTCGCAGAATCTCTCCCGATAACACAGAGACAGAATTCTCTAGAATCCCTCTCAGTAACACGGAGACAAAATTCCCTGCAGGTGACGAGTTATGAGCAGGCCTCCCGTGTTCGCTCGGTGGGCTGTTACAGTGAATGTGTGTGAGTCACGGCTGTTATTTTTGGTCCAAAGAATTGTGAGAATTTTCTTCCTCTATTTTGGGTGCTTTGAAATGGACTACTTTTCTTTCCTTTCTTTCTTTTTGTTCTTTAAGGTGTTAGGCACCCTATCAGAATAGTCATTTTCTAGTTTTCAGAGTTATTGTTTCGGAGTTGAGGAGGTGGAAGGGCTGATGACTAGGAAAGAATTGTGTGCTGACAAGTCCTCCATCCTGTGACATGTAATAGAAAATTACAAGTCACTTGCTCTAACACGGGACACCCCCCACCATGAGCCTACCCCAGGGGTCAGTTTTAAAGCTGGTGTCGATTTACTGTGAGCTCACGTGGAAGCAATGTGGTTCTGATTGACTGTTCTGCAGCGCTGTAGACACGCCTGATTTTATTTTGGATAGATTTCTTCTTAGCCAGGCTGAGGAGTGAATCATGTTTGACAGTCACATCACTGGGTCTCTGAATCGCTGTTTTCTAAAGCAGCCCTGTCCTCTGCTTTCTGTGTCACTCGAACCTGGGAGGTATGTACCAGGTTCCCAGCATGTTCTGATGTCTAAATCCCAGGGAGATCGCGGAGCTCAGCGCTGTTCAGAGTGAGGCCCAAGGACCGGGGCCAGGCTCGAGCTGCTGTTGCTGGACAAGCTAAGTGCAGAAATGAAGTGTAAGTGTTCGGAAACTTGGATAGCAATCGGACAGCAGGATTTTTGAATCTAACAAACACTTGGGGTCTTGATGTCTTCTTAGACTCATTTTCCGAGTAATTGATTTCTATTTTGTTTTGCAAATGTACCGGTTTGTGACGGAGTAGAGGTAGAGAACTGGTCTTTCACCACAGATGGAATTGTACGGATTTAGATACTGTGATGATGTTGGCGGGTGAACACCCACCCACCTGAGGGGCTCAGGCTGTTACTGATTCAAAAAGGGAAGGTTAGGGACATTGTAGTTTCTCAAGTTGTTTATCTTCTATGATGTTTTCACTGTTACTCTTACCAGCATGTATCTTCGAGCATCTCTTTCGCCGTTTAGGAGAAGGTGGGTGCTGTGAGGTGAGTTCTGCTGTGTGTCCTGACGATGGGGTGCTGAGATACCTGACCGTGCGCAGGGGGTGGCGGGTTCCTGGGAGGCTGCCTTCAGCCCTGGTCTCCTCTCCCCTCCACTGGGCTGGTCACTGGGCCGGGGCCTGTCCCTCCCTCTGAGCTAATGTCTGGGAAATGTTCCGGAGCTGCGTGGAGGAAAGGCGGAGGCTGCCCACCTGTGACAGTTTGTGCTAAGGAAGGAGAGCTGTGGATGGAGGGGAGGAAGCAGGAAAAGAACTGATAAAAAAAATCCAGAACTGAATCATCTCTGTCCACGTCGCTGCAGCCTTTGGGGTGAACTGCCCTCCAGAGTGGAAGTTTCTCTGTGAAGGGGGGAGGGAGAGAGGGAAGCCAGTAGCTGGACCTTCCCCCTGGGTTTCCACAGCTCTCACTCTCTCTCCTTTTTCAAGTCTTGGCTGAGTGTGGCTGTCCCGGCGAGGCCTCTTGTAGCTCTTTCCCCTGGCGCACTCAGTTCCCTTTGCCTGCTTTATTTTGCTCCGTAGCACTAACCATCCAACTACTGGGTCATTATTTATTTTATTATAACATGACACAATATCATCTGTTAAAATGTACGTTTACAAGGGCAAGGGGTGTTACCTGTATTGCTCACTGCTGTAGCTCCAGAGTCTAAAACAGTGCCTGGTGCATGGTAGGTGCTCAGTAAATATTTGTTGTATGAATGAATAGATGAGTAAGGAACAGTGAAGAGGCGGGATCACAAAGGAGCCAACTGTGTCCAAGGAGGCATCTGGCCATATCTACAGCAGTTCACTGCATGGCTGAGCTGGGGCAAGTGGGAGAACATAGTCAAGGGGAGGCAACCAGCCTTTACCAGCGCCAATGTACGCCGAGCACTGTGGTAGGTGTCCTGTGTTTATCACTGAATTCTAGCATCAAGTCCTCACATGAAGTATGTCTGGTGACTCCATTTTACAGATGGGGACACTCAAGAGGTTAAGAAACTCACCCAAGTTCGTTCACTCAGTAAGTGGCGGAACTGTGGTCCAACTTAGCCTTTCTCATTCCATCGAGAGAAATTTCCAGAGAAAGTTTGTTGGTAACAGTGTCTCTACTTTCTTTGCATTCCTCCCTGTAAAATGGGCGTTAACTTTCCTCATCGTTCACCAAATTTTCATCTGCCGAGGACAGAACTTGGGAAAATTGGAATGCAAGTATTACAAGATATGAACTTTGCAAATATGAGGTAGAAAAATGAGGTCACACTATTGAGTAATGTCCACGAATGAGTGAGTAGAAATCAGGGCTTGGTTAAACCCAGCCCACGGGGAGGAGGGAGATTTTTTTATGCAAGACTGCATGCCGGGTACTGGTCGGTGTTGGTCATTGTTGTCATTTATTCCAGATTCCTCCCTAGGCTGAGATCACAATCTCCAGGCTCAGCATATTGCCTCTCATTAAAAAAAAATATTTATGGAGTATCTACTAGGCGCCTGAGGTAGATCAGTCGAGCAAACCAAGTTCCTTACCCTTCATGTAACTTCCATTTTAGTACAGAGGAAGAGGCAGGAAATAAGTATAAGCCGTAAACCATAGAGTGAACTACATGGTATGTTAAAAGGCGACAAGTGCTACAGAAGAGATGAAGATGTAGCGTAGGGGAAGGGCTTGGAGGTCAGGGTGGAGGTGGGCAGGTGGCAGTATTAGAGGAAGTGGTTTAGGGTCTGGAAAAGGTGAGAGTGTGAGCCAAGAGGTGTTCTGGAGGGAGAGCATTCCAGTGAGAGAGAACAGTGCGATAGCGCTGAGCTGGGATCATGCCTGATAGATACGGGCAACAGCAAGGAACGTACGGGGAGGGAAGCTGATGGTGTAGGGGTACCCTGAGGGTAGAGGCGCTAGATACCCCGATAAGATGGAATGTGGGGGATGAGATAGAGCAAGGAGTCAAGGATGAGCCCAGGTTTAATTTTCACATTCTTTCGCCTTTATTCTCTGTTTAGTACCTAACATAACTGAGTATTCCCCAAAGTAGTAGCATTGACGTCTTTGGAGATTTAGCCACTGCAGTTCCACTCGTGTCCTAAGGGCTCTGGACCTGAGTTTCTTCAGCTCTAACACGGAGGGATGCTACAAGATAATCTTTAAAATCCCTGTGTGATGATTCCTGATCGATTCCTTTCCAGGAGTCGTATTCTGATTGCTTGCCTCCTTCCCTCCTCCCTTCCCTCATCTGTTCATCATGAGTCTTTAACACATTTGCTGGAACAGAGGCTTCCCGCATCTGAGGACGCAGAGGACAGAATCTCTGCCTTTCCGTAGCTTGCAGTCTCCTCGCTAACGTTAGACAAGAGCATGGTGAGTGAGTTGAGAACTGGAGCAAATGACAGCTAGCAAAATACAAACAGTACCACGGAACGGGAAGCCACGCGAGGCTCCGTGGATTGGTAAGTTAGGGGCTTGAGTGGATGACAGCGTGTCCGTAGCTGGGAGAGCGAGCAGTTCCAGTTTGGGGAACCCGAGGAAGGGCTCGGAGCGTGGTAGACGGTGCCCGCGTGTTATGGGGAAAGGGCAGTGATGGAGGGAGGTGAAGTGGGATTGAGAGGGAGGGAAGGCGGCTGTTGGACGGCCTCCCACACAGGCTAGAGGGCTGCGATCAGCGCAGGATGCGTCTTAAGGAAGGGGTGATGTGAACATGGGACCGGCAGGCGATTGTCCTGGCTCTTTGGAGATACAGAGGTGGGAAAACCAGCCCAGGGGACTTGAATTATCTCTGGACCCTGACTTCTGAAATTGTGGCTCATCACTCATCTCATCTCTGGCTGATTCCTTTTGTGCTCAAAATTCTAGGTATTGAGGTAGCGAAGAAAAGTTCACGAAACAAGATCTATTTGAAGGAAAAAAAGCAACAACAATGATTTGAACAAGAAAATGAAACTTTTCCTATATTGTTGACCCAGATTTTATAATTAAACTCTGTTCACTTGCAAGATTTTTAGTGGAGAGCTCTTAAATTTTTTTCTTTTTAAGTCAAATACAACCCGCTCTTTTATTACTTGTCTGTGAGCCATTGTGGAAACAAAGGTCATCCCCCCATCAAGGTTCACGGCCAACTTCATTTCCTGCATGCGGTCGTATTGGCGTGATTTGCACACTCTGCATTCATAGACACATTTACTCTAATGGGCTTTGTGTGGTTCAGCAGGGCTTGGATGGCAGCCTCCCTAAGCCTAATAAGGCCTCCCATTTATCCACTCCTCCTTTTCTGATTGTATTTCATAATGTGTTGATATTTCCAGGCTAACCTTGTACAACTATTGAGAGATTCTCAGGACCGAAATAAACATCTGGGAGAAGAAATTAAAGAACTTCAGCAAAGGCTCGGAGAAGTCCAGGGTGACAATAAGGTACCGTGAATATTTACAGGGAAAAGGCTCTGCTGAGTCATTGTGCGCCAGAGGTTTATGGAGAGCTCATCAGGAAAATGCAATGCAGCATTTGCTGAAAAATTCGTTTTAGATTTTTACATTCGCAATAAAAATCCACAGTTGAGTATTTCTTATCTTTATGACATTCCCTTTGTGCGTGTTTGCGCACGTGCACGTGTGTGTTTCTGGGTTGCTCTAAAATATTGTCCCAACTCGTCGTCGAAGTTTCATTACGTTCAGCTCGGTGGTAAATAATATTGTGGTTGAGGCAAAATAAAACCCAAATGCTATACTTTCCCCCGTCTGTACAAATAATGGATTTGTGGCTCAGATGATTTGGAATTATTCACATTCGGTTTTGAATTTTAAGTAGTCATCCTACTAATTATGTTCACATAACCAATTTATTTTATTGCTAAATTTGGCAATTTGTATGGAACATTGCTCAAAATCCACTGCTTGGTATTAATCAAACTCCCCTGTTGGCAACGTTAATTATAAAATATGAACTCATAAACTCCAAACTAAATGTGCGCTCTCTCTCTCCCAGCTGAAGCTGCGCACCAAAGTATAATAGAGAAAAGGAAGGACTACTGAAGTTTAATTCCGTCCCCACAAACAATTTCCCATTTTGCCGAGAGAGATTTATTTTCTATTCCCTGCCAGAGGCCGCTTCTCAACAGAGATGACCGTTGGAATTTAACTCAAGAAAACGACCTGGTGGGGAGGAGGTGCTGTCATGGGAAACGGTTTTTAAACTTGACCAAGTTCCTTGACAGACTGTGGTGATGGTTATTTTCTGGGAGTTGTTGGTTGTTGGAAGGCACCGTTTTGAATGATGTTCACTTTTTAAAAAATGCACGGAAGTGCCTGCTTCCCCAAGAACCTCTTCCACAACAAAAGATCAGACAGGGTTGTGGGTTTTTTCAGCCCTCACCTGAGGTTATTTTTTCCATTGCTTTTCAGAGAGAGTGGAAGGGAGGGAGAGGAAGAGAGAGAGAAACATCGATGTGAGAGAGACACATCAATTGGTTGCCCTGACCAGGGCCGGGGACCGAGCCCAAAACTGAGGTACGTGCCCTTGGCCTACATGAACCCTGGACCCTTCAGTCCTCGGGCTGATGCTTTTACTACTGAGCCAAACGAGCTAGGGCTCAGACAGGACTTGAGTGTACTGCTGGCTTGAGGCTCCCTTTGTGGGAGGTTTTCTTTACATTGGCTCTTTTCCACTTCATCTGCCTCTAAAAATTTTTTTATACCCCTTATATTTAATATTTATTTGGAAAATTAGGCTCTACTATTTCCGGTCATGACTAAGGGGTGGGAAAGAATGCCGGAGAAAGGTTCTAATTAACATGGGACAAGCTAATCCGGCCTCTGGTGTGGTTTTATGCAGCATGTAAAGGATTTAAGCTCTGTAACCTAGGTGTTTGGTTGGTAATTAAAGGCCAGCCCTTCGCTGTCACTTCCTCAGTTGATAACAGCAGAGCAAGATTTCCTAGAGAATAAAGTGAAGTTTGTGCAGTAGTTTCCTTTAAACCCCTAAAAATAGGACAGGGATTTTGGAGACATTATAAACACACAAAATACTGAAACATTTTATAATGTGATTTTTGGATTCATGGTTCTTCTCGACTGACTGCTTTTTTTTCTTCTTGAGCTACTCCCATTTCTAACTTTCCTAAGTACATCTCATCTTTTGGCCACTTTTAATTGTATCTCCTTTTAGGCGTGAGATACGTATTTTAGGAATTGATGTTAACAACTGATATTTCAAGGAGAGAAGGGTGTGTGTGTGTGTGTGTGTGTGTGCACATATGCACAGGAGTGTGTATAAGCTTGTGTGAGTGTATGTGAGTATGTGTGTGCACATGTGACTGTTCGAGTGTGAGTGTGAGTGTATGTGAGTATGTGTCAGTGTGTATGTGAGTGTGTGAGTGTGTGCACACATGACTGTGTTTGTGAGTGTGTGTGTGTGAGAGTGTGTGTGTAACACTAAGCACTAGTCCAGGCTTCTTTTGCTTTGACACAGGCTGAACTTCATGGTTTGCTTGTGCTCTGGGTCTTTACTCCAGAAGCTGGACACATTCATTTATCAAACTTTGTTTTCTCAGCCAAGATTTAGAATTTAGTGACTCAAATTCATGGCCTGTGAACTAATTTGCCTGCCGAACGTGCAGGGAGCATGTTATAACATTTAGCAGACCCCACTACCTCAGTGTCCAGCCTCCCCCTCAAAAAGCACCAGCCCCAGTGAGCCCCAGTGAGCCCCAGTGAGTTCATTTATCTCATTTGCATCTGAAGTTGTAGGGATGGTTTCTTTTCAATCCTCTGTGAGTCATGATCATCCCACCCTCCCCCATCCCCAGTCATCAGCATTGAGGCCAGATTACTCATTTGATAAGGATCCCAGGCATCCTGAGAAACTTAGAGGCCCCTGTTGAAAGTGGCCATGACTGTGTGATGGAGAATGGGGTAACCCTTCATTATTATTATTTTTATTCATGTCACTCTCTCCTCCAACCTTTCTGCGGTCCTCTGAATCCAGTCCCACCTTCTTGCCAGAGTGTGCTAGGCCTGCCATCCTTTGGCCCCTACTGGTTTCTCCAGCCACATCTCTAATCACTAGTCTCCTCACACTTCAATGCTGCAACAGTAATTTAGCCCCTTTGCTAAACTGAACTGCCTTGTGCCTCAGGGCCTTTGCACCTATTGTTTGCTCTGTCTGGAACATTCTTCCACTTTACTTCCCTGGGAACTCCTGCTTATCTTTCAGGTCACAGGTCAAATGCAGCCTTCTCGGCCTCTTAGGGGCAGGTCCTACAGGTGCCCATAGTGTCCTGTTCTCTTCCCTCTGCTCCCCAAGGGTAAGCTCTTCTCAGGCCAGATTCCTGACTGGTATACTACTGCATCCCTAGGAATTAACATTCTTAGTTCCCAAAAGGTAGACATTATTTGATAAACCCTTATGAAGGAATGGAATGGAAAAGCGGGTGAGTGCATGAATAAAGGGAATGAATAAAGGGAATGAAAAGAAGAGCAAAAGTGTTCAAAAAAGGAAAAAGAATATGAGGAAATAAGTGGACTTACTGCCACTCTGGTTGTCATCAGTAATTCTCCTCTTGGGGAGAGGAGTGTGGTTAGAAATTTGGAGAAGGGAGCTGGAAAAGCAAACTGTTTCATCAGAGCAAAAAACCCCACCCCCACCCCACCCAAGGTGTGAGACCTTGGGAAGCCCCGTGGAGAGAGCATAGGGTTTGGATGCTGAGCCCTGGTGGACACGGGGGAAGGTCCTTCCCATTGGCTGGCTGAATAGCTAAAAAAATTCAAGAATACTTAATAATTACTGCTGTTGGACGCCTCACTCCCCACCTTCCAGAGGGCTGATGGCATCATTTTATGAGCGGCCATTAAAGTAGAAGCTTTTTATCTCCTAGTTGCCATTTTAACTGATGACCCTTGTCCAAATTTGGGAAGCCCAGCTTCTGGATGTTAAGTACATTTAAGAAACAAGGTGATAGGAAATTACTTGCCTTGGGCATTTTAAGGTAGACTAATTTTTCCATTTGTTCAGCTAGAGCCTTGTAACCCTATGTGCCATAAAGCATTTTCAAACAGCCTCTTGAAAGATTTGTAGCCACCTTGGCTTACAAACAGCTTAGCATCACGTGGGGCTGGGGTGTGTGTTCTGTGATAGTGTGGGGGGTTCCTGCGATCACACATCACCTGCTGTCCCTCTGAACAGTGCCCAAGAATTTCCTGGGGCTCCCAGATGGACATAAACCGCCAGTGCAAACCAGATGAAAGGTGTGAGGAGGGAAACCTACTAGACACCCTCCCCTGCCTTGATAATTGTAGTTCTGACAGGCTAAAGAGGAAAGAGGAGGCCTGTGGGGCTAGGAGGACACACACCTCCTCAAATCATCCTGAAAAGGGGCTCTCAGTGCGTCAGTTTATAAGGGCTGAAGGCCAATTAATTATGTGGAGAGACCCAGATCATGCTGGGCCTCGGGTCTGAAAAGCAGCCTGCTGAGAGAGTGGCTGCCCCCCTTCCTGCCCCAGAGGTCTGCCTGCTTCCTCTCCTGGGCATTAGGAAAAGTGTGGGCTCAGGGGAAGGGAACCAGGAGGAAGGAGGTTTCTGAGAATTTAAGGATTAGTAGGAGTCAATCAACAGAACTAGCAGAGCACATTTGAATCACAAATATCCAAAGGTGAGCTGGTGGACCAGCTGGGTCTCCTGAAGAGGAAGCCTGGCTGGTGTCGCCTTCCTAATTTCCATGATGGAACTACCGATGCCAAGACAAATATCAGGCCACCACAGCGAAGTCACTGAACTTGAAAGATGGGCACTCCAGGAAGAGCCAGCCCAGCCCGCCACTGCCAAGTGGCACCGAGTAGCACAGAGGGTCTTTGAATAACGTCATTTCATTATAAAATTAATGAGGGGGAAGAAAATCACTTCCTGGCTGGGGCCACTGTCCGTGTGGAGTTTGCATGTATTCACCATGTCTGCGTGGGTTTTCTCTGGGGAGTCCAGTTTCCTCCCACCTTCCAAGGATGTGCACATGAGAGTCTACACTGCCCCACTGAGTGGGTGTGGGTGCGAGTGGCGATGCGCCCTGCGATGGAAGGGTGTCCTGTTCAGGTGGGTCCCGTCCTGCGCCCTGAGCTTCCAGGTTAGGCTCCGCACACCTATGACCCTGAACTGGAATCAGTGGGCTGGAAAAGAACTATCTTCACTTGTTTCTATTAATCTTTCTTAAATGTATGTATAGTTCATGTTTATCTCAATACTTAATATTATAAGCATTTGCGGTCTTTATTTAGAAATTTGGCCATGTTTACTTAACTGGTTTATATCAATTAGCCTATGATAAAATTAGTTTCGCTATACATTGTTTTGCTTCAAGTCAGTCTCCAAGAACCTATGGATGACATTAAGTGAGGACTTACTGTTTAGTCCAAAAGGTCCATCTTTG